TAAAATTTTTATTAAAGATTTTTTTTAGAAAGGAAGATTAAAAACTAATATAAAGTAAAGAAAGAAAGGAGAAAGTTAAAAGTGCAAGAAAAAAAGTAAAAGAAAAATAGAAAAGAAACAAGAAAGAAGTAGCTTCTGATCTTTTTTACAGCAGTTATAAGTACAATTATAAATTTACCTCTTACTCTCTTACTCTATATTTACAACATATATCCTTTCTAATCATCAAAACCATGAATCATAAGTTCATTTTTTCCTGTTTCACGCAAAAAGTCTATAAAGGGTTTCCAGTCAGCAATAAACATAGGTATGGTCTTTTCTCTGATCAAAGAAGTCAATTTAGCCATCTCATCATCTTCACCAACCATTCCTCCATTGTGGGTGATGCTGAATCTTTCTATCTTTGTATATATAATACTTTCGCTGCAGTCATCACGTACAAAGACAAAGTTCCATAATTTTTTTCCAACTGCTTGTCCATCACAGGATTCCAACTTCTGACAGTTTCTCTAACCATGTATTACTCTTTGTATACCCAACACAATTGAACAAAGTCTGGACTGTTTTGAAACCACCAAGTCTAGATTTTTCCACTCCCCATACTTTCAGAAGCAATTCATTTCAAAGTTTTACTCCCATCAGGCAACTCCAGTTCTGAGATTATTTCAACATGAGTGGAGAAGAAAGCTGACTTTTTAAAGGAAACTTAGTGTTGAGGTGGTCTCTGCTTGTCCATTGTCAGCATCAACAGTTTGCATCTTGCATAGCCTCAGTTGGTTTAAATGTAGGCAATATTATGTAAAATAACACCTTTGTAATCAGCTGACCCAAATATCATAGGCTACAAAGAGGCAAGTGTGCATATGAGTTTTCATTTTATATGCTTCTGCTCACCCCCTTTCTCTTGTGCTTTGAGATGCTGAAATCTTTTCTCCTAGGAACTGGAGGAGAAACATCGGGAGGCCCAGCTTGCAGCCCAACACCTGGAGTTGCATCTGAAGCAGAAAGAACAAATGTATGAAGAAAGGCTTAAAGTAAGAATGCATTTTATTTTTTGGGGATACTGTGCACTTCCCATCCTGCTGCACTGAGTTGGGGAAGGAAAGAATAGAACAGATGTGGAGAACTCAGGTTCCAGAGCTAATGAAGCGGCATAGGATGGAAAGGAATCAAGGGCAGAGATGTCACCTCCAGTGCCCTTTCTGAGGCCTCCAGAAACTGCCTTCACCTAATTAGACTATTGAAATTGTGCAGCAAGTTATAAATCACAGTGGTGCATTTTTGTTGCCTATTTAGCCCAGCTGTTGCACTAAATTACAAACAAAACCTCCTACTTGAAAAATGCAAACCAAGGGAAGGATTCCAGCTGTGGTTCTTCTGTTGATGTGACTGTGTCACTGCAGCTGTCCAGCTGAAAACATTCAAAAACATACCTTCCGGGCAGAAAACCGACGCTGGTCCCAATCAAATGCAAAATCCTATTTATTATGCTGAATAGATCAGTGAAATTATGGACCCTTTCTAAAATTAAGGAAACTTGATTGAGATAATTCTTGGCTCTTGATTCTTCCCCATTCTTGCTTCCCTTATTTGATATCTGATTTTTGAAGAAATTATTGGGAAGTTCCAGAAACACCTTTAACAATTATAAATGATTATAAGAGGAGCATGGGGCAGAATTGCCATGGAACTGTTGAGCGGCTATTCAGATGTCAAGTTGACCCAGGCAAAAAATATGAAGAAAGAATTTAATGAAGCTCTCTCAAAGTAATATCCACAGCACCAGGCAACTGAACAATTAGACTCCAGGTAGCATCATCTTTGAGTTGGACATGCTAGGCTTCTCTTCTGCTAAAGAATTTTTTGTTCTTATTATGAAATATCTACCTGTGATATGATGGTGTGGGGAAAAGTTTGATAGCCAAATCTTCATTCTATTGCCAGTACTGGAAGAACCCCGAGACATGAGAAGAAACAGGAGCCACACTTTATAAGATTTGTATACTAGGTCTGGCCAAACCGCAGTGACTAGTCTTTGATTGGACTATTTTTAAATCAAGTTGGTCCTTCCCAAAGCCAAACTTTGTGCTGTTGATTTTGAGCAGAATCAGTTCCGCTGATGGTATTCTTGATCCATTCATTCAAGTGAGAGCGTTTGTGCTCCGGTGGGGCCACCTCAGTCACATTTGACAATTTCCCGTCATGCCCTCTGCTGTTTAGAGAAATAATGTTTTCTTCCATATGAAGCTGCTGTAAACTGCATTGGATCATTTATCGGCCTAGCTAAGTGTTGTCTTACAAATTGAGGCAATTGCTTTTAGCTCCTCAAAGTGAAACTGGATCCCTCAGGGATCTTTGCAAGGAATGGATGTGCTTTGCCACTGTGCTATGGCTTTTCCAGCACAAAACAGGGAAGGCCAAAGGGTATTGTTCCCTGGAAGTGGATATATGTTCCACACAAGGTCCCAGGTTTAATTCCTGCAGACTAGGCTGGAATATCTCCTGCGCAACTGAGCATGGCTACTTGTCTGCATAGATGTGGAATGGGCAGCCTGTAAGTTGCATTCAGTTCCCAAATTCTGTAGTTTCTGAAGATCTCCCCTGCCCTGACTACCACAACTAACTGAGTTTGGTAGCAAAAATGCAGAAATTCAACAGTAGGCTTTGGGAGTTTTTTTGGAGTGCAGCTTCTGGAATGCCATTCAAAAGGCCAAGTCCAGCCTTCAGTCCCAGAAAACATTGCAAATTCCTGACTGGGTTGAAATTCTGGTGTTTCTCTGACATTTTTTTCTGATGGCCAAAATGACTTAAGGCAGTCCAAGCTGAGGCTGAATGTGAACAGGCATAAAAGTAAGCATGCTTGTTTCCTCCCCCCACTACTCCATCAATTTAGGTGCTTGATAATCAGATGAAGAAAGATCTTGCAGACAAAGATGCACTTGAAAACATGCTGAGGAAACATGAAGAGGAAGCCCATGAAAAGTGCAAAATCCTTGCAGAACAGAAAGCAGTAAGTGAAGTGCTATTCAAATATGCTGTTTAATTAATTTGAATCACCAGGCTGGTATACAGATCTTAGTCACATCAGAACGGATAACATCATTTGTGCTGACTTAGCAAGATTGCCTGGGTGAATTTTGGAATCTCATCCCCAAGACATCAACCATAAATTAAACATGTATGGTTGTCATATCAGTATTGCTGATTCTCTGCCAGTGAAAAAAGGTTGATGTTTTCATGTTGATGAGCCGTTCATAATTCTCCTGTGGCTCCTGTTGGGAACTGTGATGTGCATCAACATGCCTGCTGAGTCCATAGAATATTTTGAGCAGAGTTGGAAGATATGCGTGCAATTCACATAGTGCAGGATGATTTCAGTGAAGGGTATTCCACTTCATTGTCCAATGAACTTAAAAATATATGCTTCTTTTAGAGTTGTGTTGCAAGAAATGTTCAGAAATGTTTGGTGAAGTAAGTCTTTTAAAGAAGATTGTTTGCCAACACCACCATTGTTTTAGAGAAAAGAAATGTGTACCCTCTCCCACAGTTTGAAAGCCACTGTGAAGCCCTATTAACGGAAAAATATCTTTCTTCAGATGATCAATGCCATGGATTCGAAGATTAGGTCTCTGGAACAGAGAATAGTGGAACTGTCTGAAGCTAATAAGCTTGCAGCAAACAGCAGCCTGTTTACCCAGAGGAACATGTAAGCATAAAAGCTGCTATTAAGTTGTCTTGACGCATAGCATTTTGGAGAAGTTTAGCAAGCGTATTACTCATTGTAGAGTGACTTTCATTTGATGCTCCTTTGACCTCAGAGCAGAGATAAGCAATCCAGTGCTTGAAGGGCCACTGTACAGAGCATCTGTGGATCTCCCCTAATTACATTGTCTGTCTTTAGGCTGAAAAATGGCCAAATGTGTGAGATCTTGGCATCTTTATAAGAAATTGCACCAGAGATCAAAGGACTTTGCTAAAATCTTGCAAGGTGTGGGACAGTTTCTTTTACCTGGGGAGAAACATCTGAAGGAACTGTTGGCCTTTCTTCCAACATTTTAATCAAGCTGTTCTTACAGTGGCTGTGATGGATGTTTATGCTTCCCAATGTGTGCTGTTCCTTTGTTCTAGGATGCTTTTATAAAGCTTTGATTATTTGATTCCTCCATTCTTTTTTCTTGCATGTCATCCAATTAATATTTCTTTTTCAATGTTACTTTTTTATTTTACCTTCTGAGGCAGCTTTTGAAAGAGGATAGTAGAGCGCATATAGCTTGCATGTGTGAAAGAAAAGCTAATTCTTCATGTTACAGGGTATTTTAAGTTACATATTATCAGCCCTAGAATGTACCTGGTATGCACTGGAGACAAGTGCAAATGAAAAACTTGTAAATGTTCATTGTCTTTTCATTCTCTAACCAGCTAAACCAGGATTCCCTCTTAAGCAGGATTTCTATTAGCTTGCTGGCAAATCTTGATGTCCATCTAAACCTTCACAATTAGGAAGAATTAGTGCAGGATTACCGTATCCACAACATTGCTTTTAGAAGGGTTCAGAGAAGCTGGAAAGGGTTCAGAGAAGGGCAACCTCAAGGACTGGAAACTAAGTCTGAGAAGGAGACATCATAGGACTTGGGTCTGTTTAGGTTTGATAAGGGAAGAATGAAGGAGGAATTTAATTCTTTGAGTACCAGATGGAATATCTCACAGAAAAAAGCCAAGCTCTTTCTCAACTGACCAAGAGTACAGAGCATGAAATAATGGTCTTAAGTTACAGGAAGGCAGATTTCCCCTGAATAAAGAAAGGGGTAAGAACAGTGTAACAGAGGAACTAATAACCCAGCAAGGTGGTCAGCTCCTTTCCCTGGAAGTGTTCCAGCAGAGGCTGGACAACTGTCTATCAGGGATACGTTGATTCTGATTCCTGCATGGAGAGAGGGCTAGACTTGGAGGTCTAAATCAATGTTTCTCAATCTTGGCAACTTTAAGATGTGTGGACCGTGCTCTCTGGATAATTCTGGGAGTAGAAGTCCACACATCTTAAAGTTGCCAAGGTTGAGAAACACTGGTCTAAGTGATTCTTCCAGCTCTATAAGTCTGTGACCTAACAAGCTGCTCTAGATCTCTTTGGCATTTGCGCTACATCCACGCTATAAGCAAGCAAGTCATTCTGTCTATCAAACTTTCCAATAATATGATTCTAGAATGTCCACATTGGATTAAAAATCAGGGTAAGAAAGGCTATTTTGTAACTTCATTCCAAAGAGTCCTTAGAGAAGGCAAAATTAATTCCTCTAGAGGAACACATTCTGGTAGCACTAGTTAGCTCCTTGTTTTAATGTCCAGTTGGGGAGCTAGCTAATTTTAAATTACCAGATCTTTTCTGCGAAAAAGAGAAAGTCTCAGTTGGCTGACATAGCTGCCTTCTGTCCACAATCCATTGACAAATGTCCTATTTTTTTTAACTTCTAAAACATGTTCCAATTAGTTTTAAGTTGATAAGGTTACACCCAGCTGATGATTGATGGTTCTGGCATTGGGAGGGTTTCCAGCATTACTCAAATGAAAGAAAAAGGCCTTTGGATTAGAGTATGTGTTCCCCCCACTTTTTTAGGAAAGCCCAAGAAGAAATGATTTCTGAGCTCAGGCAGCAGAAATTTTATCTGGAAACTCAGGCTGGAAAATTAGAGGCGCACAACAATAAACTGGAGGAGCAATTGGAAAAGATTAGTCACCAGGACCACACCGACAAGACGCGGCTGTTGGAGTTGGAGACTAGGTTACGAGAGGTAAAAAAAACTACTTGAATATTTTTAGTGCTAATGCTACTTATCAACTATATAACTAGCTCCAGCAGGTTGGCAGCTCAGAGGTTCTTTAACACAGCCTTCACCAACTTGATTCCCTCCAAATGTGTTGTGTTCAGTTCCAGAATTCCTCCAAAAACATGCTCGTCCTTGAGAATTCTGAAATGGAAGTCCTTGAGAAACCACGACTGGGGAAAACTGCTGTGACAGTTGCAGTGAGGTCCTTCTTTGTGCAGAGAGACAGAACTATAGCTCTTTGAAGGGTGTTATCATTGGTAACTACGTGTTAAAGGGGTGGGCAGAGCAAGTGGTCCACAGCCTCATTTCGTGTGACTCCCAAAGTATTTTCAGAAGCCCTTTGATAGCAAGCCTATCTGGCCTCTGATACGAGCAATCCGTCCCTTCTCCTGCTGCTTGTGGGAGAGAAAAGAGGCTTTCAGACAAAGAATGAAAGGGGATTATCGAGAATGGGTGACCCCATTCACTTTTGGCACTGATCTCTACTTTTGAGTCTATTGCATGAATCCAACTACCACTATATATTTGAACTCTTAAGAGAATGTGGGCCTCAGCAGAGAAAAATAAGTTTCCCCAATCTAATCTACATAAATATTCAGGTTTTAATTTTTCTGAACGGGCAAACGTTGAATACTTAGCAGTCTAACACCATTTTAATTCTGATTCTGAAAGTGAATCTTTCCTAATGTCTTCTAAGTGACAGAAGGAGCAGGTGCTAGAGATACAGGCAATCTGATACTTAGAATTCCTGTTTTTATACAATCCCTTTCTGTTTGTCATAATAGCAGGAGTGTTTGGCAAACAGCATCCCATACTGACAAGGGAAGAGTGCGTTTATAGATGGATCCAGAGAGGTTTTCTGATGAATGGTTTCCACTGAGGAGTGATGCGTGAGGGAAGTGGAAATTGTCAAGAGAAGATCTTCCATGATGCCACATAATTGTGGATCAGTTGGTCATGGTAACAGGGCTGTGCAGATTATCCCGCCTCAGTGCTGCTTCTATCACGTATGTTACCCTCCTATGTTGTCTGGGTTTCTGATCACGCAGAGGCCTCTTGTTTAGCTCTGTTCTTGTAGATGTCCATGGTTGCTCTGATGCCTGCAAAGACTCCTTCCTTGCAAGAGCAAGCCTTCTTATGAACTTCTGCCATCCAGATGAGCCTGGCCATCTGCTTATTGTATGAGGGAGTTCTTTCAAGGGGACTCTGTTGACATGAATAACATCCCTTTAAAAACTAGCACTATGACAGATGAAATGGATTAGGTTCCCATTAATTTAATGGAATAGCATGAAGTCTGTTCCTCAAGTGCCAGACACATTTGCAGGATGTAAACAGGGACAAAAGGCTGTGGGAAGTGGAGAAAACTAGCAACAGGCACATTCATGATCATCTGTGGATTCCCATGATTGATTCTGGTAGGTTACAATGCTGTAAGGTGAAACATGGAAACTCCCTTTTTCCATATTTGCATTAACCACAGCTTGTTGTGTTGTCCGGAATGAACACAGGAACTGTTTTATGAAACTAGCTTGTTTCAGCAAACTGTGCGTGGAATTAATGGATGGTTTAGGATCATGGAGTGTAAAGGTTGAGTGGGACTTGGAGATCATCTCATTCAACCCGTTGCCCTGTGTAACTAGGATTGATCAAAAATTAAGACAAAAGCTTCTGTTTTTCTTTTGGGGTATATCAGAACAGGCAAGCCTTGCTCCTGTTACCGTAAACCATAATTTATCTTGACAGCCCTGGCAGTAATGCATAAAGTACTGTCTATACTAATATGCTTATTCTATGTACTATTTTTGCAGTCTTTCATAGCTTAACTCTATATAAGCACAGTGAATAGTTACAGGAGTGATAACCGGTGATAGCAGAACTTGATATTCCTTACGAGGCTGTTGTATCTGTTCAGGCTGGAATTCATCCATTCGTTTTTGGAAAAGCTCGAGGATCTAGGGGATTTGAAAGGTTCTACTGTTCTCTGAATGGCATTTCTGTCTCCATTTCTTCTCGGCCATGCCGTCTGATCTTTTCACCCTATGTAGCTAGCAGCAGGGAAGTGCTGAACGTTTGAATTTAAAGTTTGAAATTCATTGCTATCAAATTCTGTACTTCAGGTTAGCCTCGAACATGAAGAACAAAAATTAGAACTGAAGCGGCAGCTTACTGAATTGCAGCTCACCCTCCAGGAGAGGGAATCTCAGATTTCAGGGTTGCAAGCAGCCCGTGCGGCCCTGGAAAGCCAGCTCCGGGAAGCTAAAACCGAACTAGAAGAGACCACGGCTGAAGCTGAAGAAGAGATTCAAGCACTGACGGTAAGCTGTTGAATTCTGGGCCAGTGTCAAGAGCTGGGTCCTGTTGAGTCTGAGCCTGAAGCGGTTGAAGAATGTTTGAAACAGCCCGTTTCCCATTCAAAACATTTCGTGAACTTTCATGGTTGAAATGGTTCGTAAGAAAAAAATGTTTGCACCTCCCAATTTCGAGGTAAAGTGGTGGAAGGATGTCATGTTTGCTGTGGTAATTATTTTGTCTGCAAAGGTGGCATGGGATTTAAAGAGCAAGGAAGTATCTGCTATCAAATCTTCAATTTCAGGAGTCAGAAACTTTTCAGGTACCAGATACATCCCCATATGCAAAATCACTTTAAATCTTGTAAAACAATGACAATTTCACCCTCTGAGATCAAATGCTGATCTCTGATGAAATTTCAGCATTCTCCGTTGAAGCCTCACAAGATCCCATGGATGAATGCTGAGACCTCACAAACATTTAGGTATTTTAAAAACAGCTTTGTTGTTTTAAATGGAAACTGCTGTGTGCCAGCCCTGATCCTCCTTGGTTAATGGTATACCCATGAAGCTTAAAAAAGAAAGTAGGATCTCCATGTTTTCCAAATCACACTGTTGTGGACAGAAGGAAGCTTCTTGATTATTGATACTAAATAGATGACAGTCTCTGTGTTCAACCAGAGTAGCCCAGCACTGAGGAAGAATGGTCCTTTCAGTTTCTAGGTTCTTTCCTCCCTACAACAGGTATAGGAGTGAAATCAACTCCTTATTGGTTGTCATTTTGGAATCTAGAACCTTTTGGGACCGGAGGGATGCTCAGGTTGAGAATGAACTTTGGAAGAAGGCTGTTTAACATGATAAAGCCTCCTGTTCTAAGCCCATCATGAGAACCAATAGTCCTGACAAGACCACAGAAGCTGGATGAGAGATTACCTTGGTCCTAAAGCAGGGCGTTTAGAAAGGGCTGAGCTGCCTGTGGCTGAAAATCCTTTTGGAATTTCATCCTCATCTCATTCTGATTTCAAAATACAATCAAACTGTGGTTTGTTTTCACCTCAGCCCATCACTTACATTTATGAAGGTCATATGACCCACTGCTTTTTTGTAAGTACTACTTTAGGATTGCAGAATGAAAGTTATCTTTGGCAGTGAACTATATCCCACTTAGACTAGGGCTGCCTTGGAATCTTACTTCTCTGTAAAGTCAAACAGTAACCCTGAGAGCTAATATATAAGTGGAACTCTTTCCCTTGAAGAAGTCCACCACAGGGCATAAATCCTTACCTCAAATGCAGTACTTAACCGGGTGCACTGACTCTTTTTGTGAAGGTTTGCTGACATTGATAGGCAGTGAAAGAGGTTAATTACAGGTAAGTTGCCTAAATGCAGTTCCTTGAAACTAAAATACTTTTAAAAAAAAGTATCCCCGTTTTGCAAAAATACTATAAGTTGTATGGATTTTTGGCATCATCCTTTTCTGTGCTACCCAATTCTAAAAAAAAATGAGCTGCTTTTCTAAAATTGCTCCTTAACAGTTGTACCATTTTAATGCTGTGGGGGTTGTTTCTCTTGTTAAGGTATTGGTTTGTTTGGCCTTTTGAACTGAACCAGAATGTATACAACACGCCATTGATTTCCTTTAAAAAGGCTTGAAAAGCCATCCTTTCAGAAGTTGGATCTTCACCCTGTTTTGCCAAGGTGGTAGATGGTACTATGGCTGGGTTCTGCTCCTTGCTGAAGCAGCTGTCTTCAGTGATGTTTGCATCTAGGAATTGTGGAAGTACGGAAGCTCCCAAGAGCAAACAATGCTTGTCTTCCCATGAGGGACCCTGTTTCTGCCTCTAAGCTTGAGGGATTCAGAAGGGACTTGGATATATGTATCTTGTGGGGTTAGCAGGACTGGGGAAGGGAAGTGCTCTTTCAGTTTGGAAGGTCAACCTCCCCATGTAGGAAACTCAGAAGTAATGATTATCCTCTTCTGTATGATATCTGATGCTTAGGTTCATAAGTGACACAACTCTGTATGGCCGTGCCAAAGCATGAGATTCCATGGACCTAATTACTTTGTAGGTTGACTGGTGCTGCTGCACTGTACTGTGATTTTTATATAAAATACAATGTGTAATTACTTTGCAAATATCCTGTGCCTGAGGCTCTGGAGAATCCCTGCTAGTCTGATTTCTGTAGTCTTTCTCAACCTGATGCACTCCAGAGTGTTGGAAGTACCACTCCCTAAAACTCCTAGCCAGCATGACTGATGGTTACAGTGGCCAGCCAGAAAATTTGAGAGTTGTAGTTCTGGCTCAGCTTGAGGGCATCAGGTTGGAGAAACCTGGAGTCATCAACACTGGATTAGTTGGGCAAATGATTTTGTATACTTCTGATTTGGTATAAGACCCAAATTCATTATGCAGAGATGTCCATAGAGGTGAGCATGCAAGTTTGCTAACCTCGTGTTGTGATGCTGTTTGCTTTCTAATTCAGTGGGTATAAATTGCCCAAATAATGATGGTGGGGTGCAGTATGTGTCTACTATAATGAACATATGTTGGTTTGCTACATACTTGCACAGTAGGTTGGCCATTGCTGCTCTATGTGGTCCTATTCAGTGCAAATCAGTTTCACCTTGCTCAAACATCCTTCCTTGCCTGTGGAGGCTTTGGAAGATCTTACTTTGAATCCAGTAATTCCAGAAATAGGTTGACTTAGCAGTAAAATAATATATGGGTAGGAATTGTGTTCCCTCCAAAAAGTAGCTGTTTCAATCTAATGCTTCACCTGCTGCTGATCTTCGTATTTGGGTGGCAGGATGAGAGAGGAGTGACATTGTCTGAGCCCCCGCAGCTGATTGGTGCAAGGAAGCACTCCTTTCGTAGTTGGTCCTTTTTTATTTGGTGAAACAGTTTTGCTTTTTTAAATGCCTTGGGTTCAAGGCAGATGGCTGGAATAAAGAAGAAACATCCAATGCGTCTGAGCACAGCTGATTGGTGCAAGGAAGCACTCCTTTCGTAGTTGGTCCTTTTTTATTTGGTGAAACAGTTTTGCTTTTTTAAATGCCTTGGGTTCAAGGCAGATGGCTGGAATAAAGAAGAAACATCCAATGCGCAAAGGAACTTCTACTGCGGACTAAGACTGATGGTCGAGGACCTTGGGGCTGGAAAATGAGCTCTTGTGTCATACTTTGCTTGTTAAAAAAGAAAAAAGCAACACATTCATGTCTTACTGAAATTTCTGTGAACTAAAGGCTGTTGTGTCTTTTGGTGTCTCTAGGCTTCTCTTATCCCAAGGAATCATTAGTTGTGGGAAGAAGTATCTCCTTGGGGAAAGATTAGAATATTAGATAGGATTTTTATAGGAATTTTCAGAGCTTGATTTCTCATTTGCAGATGAAGATTCACAGATGCACTGTATTTTCATTTGCAAATGCAAAACCAAGCTCAGAAAATTCCTACAACTCAACAGTCCATTCCTGAGCTACATATATATTCCTGCCCCCCCCCCCATAGTCTCTGTAGCAGACAAGGTTGGGGTAGCTTGCTTAATGCTTCATTGTAGGCTTTTCTCTCTAGCTTTCGTGTGTGGAACAACACTGAATGCCTGTGCAAGAGTTAATATCAGAATTCGGGGCAATAAATACATCAGGCAAATGAATGAAGTATCTTTGGACAGGCAAGCATATAACTTGGTTATTTCACAGCACCTACCTTCAAAGAAGTCTGTTTTATGTGTGGCCTTTGCCACAACGCAATGGACATGAGTGGACATTTAGCTTCCAGGTGCAGAAGATGCCTTAAGTCGACACCTCTGGTTCTTTTGTCCTGCTAGAGCTAACAGCCTGCAGCATCTGCCCTCTCTAAACTTTGCTTGCTGGTAGATTGTTCTACAGTTCATTTAGCAACAGCTGTTGGATGCTAAATCTAATGTGTGCAAAAATTGATGATCAACTTCTTACCTCCTTTAGGCACATAGAGATGAAATCCAGCGTAAATTTGAAGCCCTTCGTAATAGCTGCACAGTGAGTATTCAACAAAGATCACTTGAATTATTTTGAAACCAGAGGATGAGGAAGGAAACCGTCAATTTTTTTCCTCCTTGAAAGCAAAGGCTTATGAGTCTTTGGCTTTCCAGGAGCTAGCAGAACCAAGACTGATCTGGATTCCTATTTTAGATCTCCAGGAAATCTCCTCTTTTGAGGTTTGAACCTGAATTTAAATCTGGCATTGACTACTTCAAAAACTTGAGAAACAATCAGAAAATCTCATTGCAGTGCAGCTAATAAGAATGGTTTAGCAGCTGCAACAAATGATGTTTATACGGTTCCCCCCCACTTCCAGGCGGTGGGAGGTACCTTCTGTGACTTTACTCTTCCACAACGCTAGGGCATCCAGCCAGCCTCTATGTCTCTAATATGACGCTGCCTCACCCTGCAGATTCTCTGGGAGCCAATCTTTCATCCTTACGTAGGAAGAAGCGTTTATGCTGTCGCATTTGAATTGCGACACAAATGTGCATTTGCTGCAACTTGGGCAATTGCTGCATGCACGGCTGTATCTTCTTTTCTTTGCTGCAGGTGCCCCTTTGATGGAAAATGCCAAGCGCTCTAGGTTTTCCCCCAAATCATGCATGCAAATGCTCATCTCCACTTTCCTTTTCCTGTCATCAGCATTTTTAGTGAGCCTCTTGCATTCTCTTAATGTTCTCGAAGACTGCAACTTGCATGCGGATGAGCGCATGCGAAATCACGCACACGAAACTAATGGATGGCCTTGAAAGAAGCATTTTGCAACAAGCCCCAGTGCAAGGGACCTTATGTTGTTCAAAATGTATGTTTCTTTGTTTTACTTTTAGCAGGTGAGTTCAAGTAGAAACTTTGAAGTGGAAAAAACATAGGAAATATAAACTTAGTTTTAAACAGAGTTCAGTGTACTTCAAAAGTCATAATATGTCCTTCAATAGTGTTAAGATCCAATAACATCAAATTGCTTCTTGAAGAAGTCATTCCTCTTCCTACTTGCTGTTCAGTCCTGGCTTACTTCTTAAAAGTAAGTATCTGGAAAAGAATGAGGCCTCTCCTTTGGGGCATCTATAGTTGAGCGGCAAGAAGTCATTCCAAAGATTTGTCCTCCCCAAATTGCTGCTGGCTTGTGCATAAATCACAATCCATTCTTGAAGTTTACAAATACTTAGCAAGCTCTGTTTCATGCCTGCTCATTCATTACTTGATGTCTGTGATGCCAGCTGATATTTCCCTTTTATGGAAGGGACACTCTACCCACTCCAAGATGAAAACCATCTGACTGCATCGCCTCAAATGCAATGCTTTTGAGTCCCCACATTTATGTGCTGCTTTGATCAATGTTCATTTCAGAGGTGAAGAAGTAAACTCTGTGCTCTTGATAAAGGAAGGAAAACCTCTTGCGGTGATAACACTGCAACATTTGGAAGAAGAGGCAACGCAACCTTTTCTTACTCATTTTGGTTTTGGTTCTGCAGTATATGATTAGTAGGCTGGTGGAAATATTGGAGAAGTAAGCATAGGAGAATCTATGGGTTAAGCCAAGAGAAGGAAAATGCATCACATGGTCCCATTGTTATTTATTTGCTGACAAAGAGGTCCAGTACAGGATTAACCCCTACTGCAATGGGTTATCAAGAGCAGCCATTGGAGACTGGAGCGGTGGCAGGGTGAGTAATTCCAGGCAGGAGATCAGCTCCAGGACATGGGCTTGGTCCATCAGAATGGGTGAGATGTGAAGTGGTACCCTATCCTTCAAATTCTCTCAGGAGAGATAGCACCCACTTCTGTTATGCAAAATACTGGATTTTGGGGGGATGGGCATGATGAATCAGCTGACAGTGGCGAACAGAAGGAAAGAGCCTTAGTTGAGGCATGTAGGCCAGATGGATGAGCTTGGTGGCAGAAGTTTCCCGTTCCTATTTTAAATCAAGCTAGAGAGTTGTGGTTATTAGGTGGCCTAGGAATCTCTTCCACTTTGTAATCTGTGAATCTGAAGGGCCCTTCCCTTCCCTTCCCTTCCCTTCCCTTCCCTTCCCTTCCCTTCCCACAGCTCCTGCTTTGTTTTTTCTCCTACTCCTTCTGATAATTTGTAAGGCTTATTGCCAGATATATTGACTGCTTCCCTGACATGTTACTTCTCCTTAAAACTTTGGCTGGGAACAAGTCTGTGGTTCTGCACAGGCTCTGTTAATCCAAATTTTAATTCCACTGCCCTGGTTTGCTTCAGCTGAGCATGGGCTTATTTGGGGGGGATGGAAGCTAAGGCTACAGCTCTCCCCTCACCCTGTAAATGGGTTTTGTGAGTTTGTGATGTGTTGTTGGATGTGGCAACAACTTTAAACACGACATTTAATGTTTCTGTACATATAGGGCCAGTTTTTTAAAACTCCAGACCAAACCCTGTGCTTCTTTCTTCAGTGTATTAATAGTTAGACTGTGAACTAGCGGCTAAATTCAGAAAAAGGTTGGAGGAATATGTATGAAACTCAGGGAAGTAAATATGGGGAGCTCAGTTATCTGTTACAGCATCTCACTAACCCAACCTTGAACACCCATTTTCTGGTGTGCCTTTGATTTTGGTGCTTTGTTCATTTGAAGCGCTTGTCTGGCTCAGTGCCATTAACCAAAACACTGTTGCTTCCCTAGGAAATTTAAAACGTAGTCTTCCAATTAAACCCTTGCTGCTTTATTTGCTATGACTGAATCGTTGGTGCATCAACAGTACAAGCTTTGCTCTCAGTCCTCCTAGTGATATTTCTTGACAGAGAGCAGGAGGTAGATCCTGCTGTTATTCTTAGCAGAGATATTATGATAAACAGGCAGTCAAAAGTATTTATGGCTTGTAAGGATGCATGAATATGATTCATGAAAACATGATTGCGTTGTATATATAGAACAAGCATGTTCCATTAGGTCTCTTGAACTTGGTTGAGACCTCATCCTCAACTAATAAGTACAGCCCACCTCCAGAGATCAAGGCAAATGAAGTTCCTTTTTTACATTAAGTTCTCATGCCTAAACCCTCATCCCTTGGTCTTTGTCTGCCTGTCTGTTTTCTTCTTCTATTGAGTTCATTTCAGAAATACTGCAGCCTCTTAAATCTTTCACACCTCCCCACCAGAGACCAAAGAAGGCATAAGGCAGCACCACATGAGGTGGATTGAAAAAAGGCGCCCTTGTCCTTCAGATTTTAATTTTTTTCTTCCAGCACTTTGAATAGCTGATAGAACTGTCACAGCATAGAGCTAAAACCTCAAATAGATTTGCTCAGATTTTCAATTTGTGGGGAAAATCCATTGATATTCTATTCATTCTTTGAAATATGCATTGGCCACTTGATTATATGTTATCATTGTTTCTGGCCAAAGAAAAGAACCTCCTTTTGCTTAGTCCATAAAGGAAATATTTATTTACCATAGATGAGTCGCTATTTACGACTTTCAGGTTTAAAAAATTCCTAAATAACTTGTCCATGTTGGTACACAATGAGCCTGTGGGTACCTTTTGTACAATGATGTAAGTATTAGCCTCTGTGATACTAGTAAGATAACATTTCAACTGTTCCTTCTTATTTAATCCTAAAAGTCACTCCATCTTGATGCAAAGGTCACATGCTTTGGGCAAATGCTAAAAATACACTGGCTTTCAATATATGTTTCTGAACAAAAAGTCCTTCAGAATCTTTCAGAATGTTGAGGGAGAGGCTTTCTCTTGGAAGTTTGTCTTCCCACAGTGATCTCAAGAGGAATCAGTTGAGACACAGTGGGCAAGTATTGTTGGAGAGACAAAGTTTGGAGTGCTGTTTTACCAACTGCTCTTCCAGTCAATCTACCATTTGGCATGGATCTTCAACCCTAGATTTTTGTATTTAACCTACTACAAGGTTTTGTATTTAACCTAATAGCTGACCGTAGTTTCTTCTGTGTATTATCTTGGACAAAAATGTGATGACACATATTTATTGAGATTGTTTCCTTCTAGCATTTGTGGGCTAAATAATCTAATAATGCACACACAGATTTTGTAGACACACAAACACACAATGTTTCTTGGGCATATTTTATAACTGGCACATTTCTTATGTTTAAAGCGTTCTCAAAGCAAGTTAAAAGAACAGGTTAAAAAGTTGAAAGGTTATCTAAAATCATTAAAAACAGATACGCCCATGAAATTGCACCCCAGTAAGAAAAGAAGCCTCACATTTTTTTTAAGGGAGGGGGGAGTCAAAGACTGAAATAAACTGAGCTAAACATTTATACAAATCATGCTATATGTAAAGAGGAAGGAATTCAATGACTTAAAGAACCCCTTAATATTCACTATGTGTTGTGTCTTTGCTTAGTGTTCAGCTGTTTTGTTTTTTCTTTCATCTGAACTTATGAAGATAAAGTCATTTGGGATTTGGGGGGAATCAGGCAGGGGAAGAGATGGATAGGTCCTCTTGGAAGCGGAATGACGTCGGAGCCATAAACCCTCTCCTTTTCCTTTGACCAAGAACGTTGTGGTTTGAGAAGCAAAAAGAATTCTCGAGCCTTCTGTTGTCCATTTGCTGGTTTGCTTTCTTAGGGAACCTGGGCTTATCAAACATGACTAGGAATATGTTCCCACTGGGGGTTATAAGCATCCCTCACCTGTAATTAACAACGTCATAGAAGGTGCATCAAGCCATAAGAATTTATTACCCAACAGTCTACCTTGTTGGATTAGGCTAAAGGTCTGCCTAGTCTGTGGCTTATCTCTAATAACCTCCAACCAAATGGCCATGCTCCCTAAACCAGTCAGAATGATAATATATTCCTGCTTTTGCCTCTAGCTCCTGTTCTTCAGAGGCCCATGTGCATCTGAAAATATAAGCAGTACCGTTTTATTTGTCATGACTAATAACTACTGATAGGTCTATCCACCTATCTGAGTTACTAAGGTAACCTCTAGTGTTGTAATAAGTTTTATAACTAACATGCAGCATGAACAAACTGTTTTCTTATATATGTCCTTGCATCTGCTGTCTCCTTTACTAGAAAACATAAATTCTGATGTGTTGGGTGTTACATTTTTTGCATACATTGTTTATTTCTGACCTATTTGAGAGCGTTTTTGGGTAGCTACTCACAGTCAAACCTGGATCCTTGTATAAAGGGATATGTATAAATGGAGTTAAACAAGGAATACTTAATTTGAAAAGGTCATAAGGTATTTCTGTGTTAGTCACACTTAAATTTATTTATTTATTTATTTATTTATTTATTTATTTATTTATGAATTATGATGTCAATCTCCAAGTCAGGCCCCAACGCCCAGGAGGGAAGAATGTTCAGTTTGCCAATCTAATAAATTTCAAGATACTATATTGGCAATAACTATAAATCTGGGAAGTGTTGGAAAAAAAAGACCATACCAATGAAATAAATGTTGAACATCTTCCTCTAGAAAGGAAACAGAAGAGAGAAACCTCAAGCAAGTGCTTTTTGTTTTTCATAATTCTAACCTGAAAATGTTCCCAATGCATTTAAAACAAATATTGCTCTTGGAGCAAAGAACTTCATTGTGGTATCCCTGTTCCTGCAACTCAGTGTTGCTGCTTTCATAGATCCTTCACTTCAAATGGATTAAGCAGTTCTCAGAACTTCAAGCTTGAAGATGGCCTTGTTGGTGTTCCCTTGTGGTCCAGCTTCATATTTATTCCTAGTCTCTTCTTCCAACTGCCTGTTAGGAGGTGCTGTTAGCTTTATACATTTAAAAGGAATAAAATAGTTTCATCTTCCTCCCTCCCTCCCCTTGGTTCAGTACAGCTGAACTAAGAAAAGATAATGGTTTCCCAATATGGAGTCCTTTAGATATAAAGAACCAAGAGAAGATTCTCCCATTGTTGACAATGTTTTGGCCCCACACGTCAGGACTTTGTTATTGTCTTTCTTGAAATTTACCTTGATTCCCATTCACACAGCTTTTTTTCTCTGCAATTCTTCCTCATCTCCTTAAATGCAAATGAAGAAAATGGGGAAGTTGCCACTGGCTGTGAGTCCAACAACGAGTACAAGTTAGGTGTGCTAGGACAACTTTTGAGAAAGGGTTTCTACTACTAGTTGGCTCAGTAAAGGATTGTCTGGAAGTGTGACTTAGCATTAAATTTAGCATATCCTTCTTCAAGAATTGTGGTTTTCTGTGCTTCAGCCAAGTGGTCTGCTTTGGTTTGAGTTGTTTGCCCCCACTTTCTGCCAGGTTTTCTACCGACATGGACAGCAGGATTCAAAATATCTGGGGTGGGGCAAAGCGTTTCATCTTCGCTCCCATTCTGCTTTAATGGACACCGGCTTTTTTTCATAAAAGCATTGTTGCCTGGTTCTTTTCCACCTCTCATTGAATGCTTATATTAGCTTTCCCCCTAAAATCTGTGTGCTGGCAGGCACTTCTCACATTTCACACCAAGGTTTTTAACTGAATTCTGTGTATCCGAAATTGGAGAGGGTGGGTAGTTAGCCTTTTGGCAACACACTGGTTTTCCTTTCCTTTTGAAGTAATCCAAAAGAGTAACCTAACAGATAATCCGCCTCTCTTCAAAGGGCTCTCAGCAAGACATCAACATCCCTCTTATGGAAGTTAGCATCTGTTTTCCACAGTGAGGATAACATAAGATTGGGAAAGATAAATCGATTCATTTATACCGTTGTTTGAATATCTGCAGATCTGGGGAGACCACCGTGGACTGCCAGTTCATTGCTATTGCACTCTTCAACTGAGGTCATAGCATGAAAAGTAAATTCTTACATTGAGGTGCATCTTACACAAAATGATGAAAGACAGCAGGTCTTCAAGCCAGGCATGGGGTTAGCCTCTACACTCTGCAATTAAGCATGTGCCACTTTGCAAGGCTGCATGATAAACTTACAGAACCCTGTTTTATTAAGTTTTGGAAGTTGGCTGTCAGAAGGCTCAGCTTAAGTCAGCCTAATTCTTAGATTCTCTGGCATATTATTCTTTTCATTTAGGTAATTACGGACCTGGAGGAGCAGCTGAATCAGCTGACTGAGGATAATGCCGAGCTGAACAACCAGAATTTCTTCCTCTCCAAGCAGTTAGATGAAGCTTCAGGGGCAAACAATGAGGTGGTTCAACTGCGAAGTGAAGTTGACCATCTTCGTCGGGAGATAACAGAGCGGGAGATGCAGCTCACCAGTCAAAAGCAAGTAAGTTCTCCCAACTTAAGTTTATAAAGGCCAGCTATTTTAGGCTCTTGTTCAACGATTAGGCTAACTTGATTATAAATATTGAAGAAGCCTTGGTTTTGAGGAGAAAAGACAGTATAAACCACCACGTACAGTTAGTTCTGCTTCCTCCTTTTATGACTTTGAAGCTCTGCCTCTGAGGCAAACCACTTCCAGTGCTGTTGTTCCTCTCTACTGTTTAACGTGCACCATTCAGAACTGGGCTGTCACACTTGCCTAACAGAAGCAAAAAGCTAAGAATTCCTTTGCAGGATTTAATCTGTAAACAAAGAATATAGAACAAATGGGATCTGCTTGGACCATCAAGAGGGATGTTATAGTTTTGCACCACAAAGGCCTAGTGTGGTCAACATAGAAGTGTGGTCCCAAGAAACAGCACTTGGATGATACCATCCCAGCCACGCACTGGCAGGCACCTTCACAGCCATCTAATTCACTTCGACTTCCACTTTTCAGGAGACACTTCATGGTCCTTTAGCTGCAGTTGCTTCCTTCTTCACTATCCCATGTGCAAAGTTGTTGAGCAGATATGGAAACCTACCATTTCAATCCAGAGTCCATCAGTAGTTTCCTCATTGTCCTAGGTCAGCACTTCAGACTATAGTGATGGAGGCCTAGCTGTCCTTCAGGGAGATGTTTTGGCTGCTAATTATAAATGTAATAAATAAATAAATAACTCTTCATTGGAGAATTTCTAACCACTTCAAAGGAGTTTCCCATCACTACATGAGTTATGCCACATAGTTTTACTGTTATAGCATGAATTGTTCTTTCAAGCGTGTATAGTAGAATTCTTTGCCACTTTATATTTACTAAAAACCAATGTGTTTATGATGTCATAAGAAGGTGGTCAATAGGGAATGAAACTTTAATAATTAAAAGAAGGATCAAAACAAAACCAGCAAGAATTAGGAAGATAATCAGCCATTGAAAGTCAGGAGAAAGGAACAGATATTGGCTCGGGGCCTAAAATGTATTTGATGAGAAAACAAGGTGAATCTCCCTGGATACAGAATAGCATATGAAAGCATCACAATTAAGAGGAATCCTCTTCTCCATTTTTCACCCTCTTTGCTTCAGAATTACATGGCCACCAGCCTCTGAAGATGAACTTGGGGTAGATATATATTAGTGTATATCAAGAAGGCATTTTCTTACCGTGGAGGAAGATACATTCTAGACTGATTTTTTCTTCCCTGCTCCAAAAGACCATGCCACCTTTTTGTAAATCTTCCTGCACTGGAGAGAGAATCACATCCAGCTACAATCCTACTTAACTCTGGAATGCCAGATCTTCATGACCCTCCACCATTCCTATTCTTTGTTCTTTTTGCTCTCTGGTGGCTGGGCAGAACTAAAGCCCCTGAAATAATGATGTCAAGATGTGATGGAAGTCTGAAGGAGGGAGGCCAACTTGGGGGTTGTTTGTTTTCCAAAAGATAGGAACTAGAACTCAGAGCCAAGCGCAAAAGGCCAACATTTAAAATTAAAAACATCCTGGTAAATACAGAACAGAATAAGATATCACAAGAGGTTATCCCAAGCTTGATTATTTTCAGCAGAATAATAGGACATGGGGGAGATGCTATATTCTTGATGTTGGTTGAACAGTTACTAGTTCGGAACTGTTGGTGCTCTATGACAATTTATCTAGAATTCTGCTAGACCTATTTTCTGCACCTAGTCCATCAGTCTAAAGTGGGTTGGTTCTAAGGCACAGAATTTTAAAGTTCTAGCGCTCTAAGCCCACAGGAAACCAGTGACAAATGACACTTTTTAATCTCTGGCATGACCTGTCCTAATTCCCATGCAGTCTTCAAAAGCGATGTAATGTATGTTGTATTGCAGTAGCCTAATTTGGAGCCTACCCGAGCATTAGTAGCAGTGGCCAAACTCTCTCTGTCCAGGAAAACGTACAGCTGGTGGACCAGGCTCAAATGAGAAAGAGCATTCCATGCCACTAGCAATGCTTGGATAAATGAGCCCACTCTGACTAGACTTCATTCTATGTAATCTGTTGTCCTTACTTTATGGTCACCAAAGTTTTCTGCTGTTCCAAATAGCTGTGTCCCCCCTCCTCCATTGTTTCAGCTGCTCCTAGTCCAAGGAAGAAAAGTATTACAATTGTTGTCTGTAGTCTTGATTATACTTGGTGAGGTTCACCCTAAACATTAAGAGTTTCAACATAAGGAATATGAAGGAGCTTTGTTTGAGACTAGCATGATGCTCTTGAGGTGAACATCAGAAAAAACTCTGCTGGCAATTTACTTTTAGACGATGGAGGCCTTAAAGACCACCTGTACCATGCTGGAAGAGCAAGTGATGGATCTGGAGGCACTGAATGATGAGCTCTTGGAGAAGGAGCGCCAGTGGGAGGCATGGAGGAGTGTTCTGGGAGATGAGAAGACCCAGTTTGAATGCCGTGTTCGGGAACTCCAGAGAATGTTAGATACAGAGAAGCAAAGCAGGTACAAGTTCTCTCCGGCTTGCATTTTGTGTGAATATGAAATGGTAAAAAAAATATAAGGGGTTGAGAAACAGATTCTGTACTAAAATCAAGTACATTTGGAAGACAGTGAATTTCAGGCTCTGGGAGTTCCAGTGGGAATTAGGTAGTGCTGCTGAAGCTTCTCTGTATCTGGATGCCCAGGTGGCTCTACAACCTATAGTGCTCTCAACTACATCTGTTCCAGGAAAGGAACATCTACAACCCTCATCCATACTCCATAGTCCAGTCTTTCTCAAACTTGGCAATTTTAAGATGTGTTGGACTTCAATTCCTAGAATTCCCCATGCTGGCTGGGGAATTCTTGGAGTTGAAGTCTACACATCTTAAAGCTGCCATGTTTGAGAAACAATGCTCTAGTCTCATCCAGGGTTAAATTCTTCAATGTGCTTTTGTAGGTGAGGCTGCCGGAGGACTACAACTGATCCAGAATGCCAAAATCTGATGGAGATTCATTGTTCTGAGTCTATGCCGCCTCTATTTATCAGTCTCTGCTGAAGGAAATGGCTGTTTGCTAACAAAGCTCCTAAGAGTCCATGATCATGGTACTAAAACACCTGGCTGGATGCTAGCATTGTTAATTGGGCTTCACTCTGTGTCCTTGCCTTCTGAATTTTGGTGGGCATTGGTGGGAAATGAAGCCTTACCACTTAGGTCCAAACCTCAAACTCTGTAGCCACCTGGTTCCATCCTGTGTCCTCAGGTGCTTTAAGCATTAAGCTCCACTACATTTGATTGAGGTCCTCATTTAGAAGGAAAGGACAGGTACATTATTTTAAACTGCCTTTTATTGCTGTTACAGTTGCAGTGTGTTTTATTTTGTGGCTTATCTTATTTTTAAAAATAAATGCTTTTTCTTCACCTAGTCGATCCTCTTAGTTGACAGCCCCGCTGGGTGGCACACCTAGGAAGCCTTGGCCGATCTAAAAACTAAGCAAGGTGTGCCTGGGCTGGAACTTAAATGAAGCATCGTCCGGGAAGCCCAGCACCAATGCTAGACTAGGGAGTTGAAAAAATATCAAAAAAGAAGGCAGTGGCCAACCATTTCTGTTCTGTTGCCAATGTCCATGAAGTCACTGGGAGTGGAGTTTGCCTCAAAGGTGTCTACTTTGTGTTTATTAATTTATTAGATTTATATTTAGACTTTACTTTGTGCAACTCAAGGTGATGTATATAAAGCTCTTATCTCCGATTTTCCCCACCCCAACCACCATGTGAGCCCATGGTCACTTAGTTTCCCTGCTTAAAGGAGGACTAGAACGCACAGTCTCTGAGTTCCTAGTCCAACACCTTCCCCATGACACCAAACTGGCTCTCTTGGTTGGCATCATTATTAAGTACCACCAGCCCCTCTAATTCTACCATTATAGGAAATGTGGGGGCAGGGGGTTGACTTTGAAAATCAGTGAAACTTCTAAGGCAGCCAGTGAGCCTGTGATAGTTGTGGCTGGAGTGTTGACAAGGATCTAGGAGACCCACTTCCAAATTCTCAGTAACTTTGAGCCAGCCACGCTCACCCTCATGTACCCCACTAGATGGTTGTGAGTATAAAACTGGAAGGATAGTATTATCTACTTCAGACTGAGCTCAGGAGGACATAAATGGGACATAAATGAAGTAAGTGAACCAAGTTTGGGGATATCACTGCTTCCTCTTTTAATTTTAAGAGGATTGGAGGGGAGGAAATACACACCAGCCTTTTTGTAGCCTTTCAGCTACTGCTGGTTGCCCTTGTGGTTTCTTCTAAATAAAGTATTTGTTCTCTGATTGAACTTCACAGCATTAGTATTTTTCCAGGCACTTTTTCAGGAAAATAAAACATGGACAGGTGACAGTGGAAAGGTTTAAAGAATTTCAGGAAGTTAGGCTGTTCCAGCCTTGCTTTCTAAACCTGTTTATTCTTGGGCTCTTCATGATCATATAGGCTATATACAGAACTTTATGCAAGAGCATGACGTTGGGAAACAGAGATTTTGATTATTTGCCAGCAACCATCTTAGACCGCCACCATCTGGCTCTAGTTTTTCTTCCGGATTCTCAGTGTGCCAACTTGGATCTCACTCAGCAGAGCAGGTGTGGATAAGATGTGTGAAGCCTAGGAAGGAGCACTGAATGATGGCTTTCTGGCCTTCAAAAGGATGTCTGAGGGTTCCTTTCCTGTTGATCCCATCCATCCTGGGATCCTGGAAAGGAGGCAGACCCCAGGAGTGGTGTAAGGCAGGTACTTATTATCTTTAATGCAGGGTGCGAGCCGACCAGCGTATCACGGAATCCCGCCAAGTAGTAGAGCTTGCTGTTAAAGAACATAAAGCAGAGATCTTGGCTCTCCAGCAAGCATTAAAGGAACAGAAGCTGAAAGCCGAGAGTCTCTCTGACAAGGTTGGTAGCTGAAAATACTGTGTTGGCTGGGATGAAGCTAAGCTGGCATGAACAGACCAGACAGTGACTGGCTTATAAGGCACCATCATTATAACAAGAGTTGGCAACCTCTCACTCCAGAAGTACATTTTCATGTGGCCCCAAGCCCCTCCTGGAACCCCCTCCGGCCACAAGTGCTGAAAATAGGCCAGATTGTCTCTGAAAAAGATCTGCCACGTTATAAGCCTTAAAAAATCAGGAAACTCTTACAAGCCAGAGAAAAAATGGAAACTCTTGGCCTGGCCTACCTTGGTGACATGACCCTGTGAGGGTGCATCACCACTGGCTGATCCACTGTAGTCCTCAGCTTCTTGTCAAGAATCACAGCTGGCTGGCAGAGATTTGTTGGTCTTGCAGGCTAATTTTTTTCCCAGCCTTTTCTGGAGATCGCAGGGACTGAAGGTGGGGCTGTCTGAGCTCAAGGCACCCATTTGAGTCCTTTTTCCTGGCATGCCTTGAAACAGCCTCCAAAATGCTTGGGAAAAGAATAAAAGGGGAATATGTCATATTTCTTCCCAGTGTGTGATGTGGAAGGGGTGTTTTGCCCTGCCCCAAACTAGCAGCACTGCTGAAAAGCAAAATAAGAGGTTGGCCAAGATCACAGAGCTGTTTAGAAAGGAGGATGAGAGGGCTGAGTTAAGAAGGAAGGATAGATTCAGAGAGGCTGCTGAGTAGCATTTCGTGCCTGTGTCTGTTGAACCTGTCCATTTCCTTGTTCCAACCAGCTCAATGACTTGGAGAAGAAGCACGCCATGCTGGAGATGAATGCCCGGAGCTTGCAGCAGAAGCTTGAAACAGAACGTGAACTCAAACAGAGGCTTCTGGAAGAGGTAGTCCCTGCTCCCCAATGAAATACTATGCATCTTTTCTGGGAGATTGAAATTGGCAAACGTTACAACAGGACTTCTTGGGTTAATGCGTGTTCCTTCTTCCCAGGGAAATTGCAATCATAGGATCTGGGGATTTTTTTTTTTTTTTTAAATCTGCGCTCAGTTGTTACCGACTCCGCAGTGACTGCTTGGAGGAGTCCTTGCAGTTTTCAAGGCAAGGTGTTTCGGAAGTGGTTTGCCAGAGCCTCCTTCCTAGGGCAGAGCCCAGCTGGCGAGCGCAGGAGGCGGGTTTCCGTTGCTTTGCACCCTTTTCGGGCGAGCACGGTTTCGCACTTACCGGCAACTGCTCCTTAAAGTTGTCAAGGTTGAGAAACACTGACTTAAATTATCAAAGCTGTTGATCGTGTTTCTTTCAGAGAGTCGGCTCCTCCTGATGTATCTTGCAAGCTTGGTTTAAATCAGTGTTTTTCAAATTGGCAACTTTAAGATGTGTGAACTTCAACTTCCATGCAGGTTGGGGAATTCTGGGAGTTGAAGTCTACGTATCTTAAAGTTGCCAGGGTTGAGAAACGCTGGTTTAAATTTTGATATAACCCCAACACACACACACACACACACACACCCTCCCTCCCTCTGTTCCTGAAGAGGAATGTTTTATAATTACTGGACTGGGTTTTGTCTCCTTCACAGCAAGCCAAGTTGCAGCAGCAGATGGATTTGCAGAAAAATCACATCTTTCGCCTGACTCAAGGCCTGCAAGAGGCTTTGGACAGGGCAGATCTTTTGAAGACCGAAAGGAGCGACCTGGAATACCAGCTGGAAAATATTCAGGTGAGGGAAGAGCATTACATGCTGGGATATGTTTTATAGATTTCCTTCTGACCTTCTGTTTGGGGTTATTTGAGGTACTGAGTGGACACCGGTGGTGATTCCTGGTTTTTCCCCACCTTTTCGTGTTGCAAAGGTCCTCTATTCCCATGAAAAAGTGAAAATGGAAGGCACTATTTCCCAACAAACCAAGCTTATTGACTTCCTACAAGCAAAGATGGATCAGCCAGCCAAGAAGAAAAAGGTGTGCAAAATAAATAAATGCAAAGATTAACTAGCAGGCATGAGGCAGTGCTGCGCAGTCTGAAATTCTAAGGCTGGGGGTTGAGGAGGACTTGTAGCTGCTTCCAGGTGCCCAAAATCCCACTGGATTTTCCCAACCCCTTGAAGGTCCTTAAGTTTGTCTTTGGTCCCGGCCTGTAGTTTTAGTGTGCGTTATTAAAGGCCTCCTGAAGGACAAAGATGCCCTTGCCTAGGAAAATGTTCCAAAGACAGCATTATAGGGTTTAACTGGGCATTCAGCCATATGCTGAGTTTGAAGCAGTTGGGGAAAGTGCAGATTTTCCCTGCTGTTAGGTGGAAATGTGTGGCTAAACAAGGGAGAGCAACTTCTGTATCAAAGTGGAGGGGGGGCTGTCCATGACTCTCTTGTTTACGGCCCTGAGATTATTTTTTTTATTGGCAGCAGACAGCAGTAGGGAGGCAGCATTCCCTGAGGGGTCTAGTTCTGCACAAATGCCTTCCCATCCACCCATTGGCCCCACCAGCAACACACAAAGCTAAGGAGCTCTCTTCCAGTTACTTGAGTTTCATGTGACGCATAGATCCAGCCAAACTCTTTCTTCTACCCAGAAGAAATTACCAAATAAAGCCAAACTTTATTGTTAGCTTATTAAGGGCTTCACTGCCAAGTTTCTCCAGCTAGACAGAGCCAGAGGGCCATGATCATGCATCAAATCAAACTTGGCTAACCAAGCATAGGTGGCCCCTTGGCCACACCCACTCATAGGAAGAGCCCATAGGAGCCTTAAACCCCTGGCCAGCAGCCTTAGGGCTTGTTATGATGGATTGACCTCAGTGAGATGGCCAAGCTGGGTGAGAAACATATTTAATCACCACAAAATTCTTGACAATGAAATTGGGGGAGGAGGAGGAGGAAAGCTTTTGCTCGCTGTTGCCCAGCTCCTTCCTTGGCAGAGATGAGGATGCCTTCAGACCCTCTGGTCTGCAGTTAGCTAGATACATTTCCCTTCCCCTAGAGTAAACCATCACTGACTAGGAGTTAGGAGCTGTCTGTGTGTTTCTGTTGCTAGGGCCTGTTTAGTCGACGGAAAGAGGACCCTTCTTTGCCCACACAGGTTCCTCTGCAGTACAATGAGCTGAAGGTGGCGTTGGAGAAGGAGAAGGCCCGTTCAGCCGAGCTGGAGGAAGCCCTTCAGAAAACCCGCATAGAGCTCAGATCTGCTCGAGAGGAAGGTAGGGGGCCGCTGAAAAGTTGCATCTGAAGAGGAGGGTCGTTTTTTTAGTCCCAATTACCCGTCTTGTATTTTATGTCTTTGTTTCTCTCTCTTCTCCCCCACCACCCCTCGTTTGCTGTTGACGATCCAAAAAAGCAAGGCTGCAGGCTGTAATTCTTAAGGTTCCGTAGAACCGCTGCTGCTCCTCCTCGTCCTGCTCGGAGGAGTTAACTAACTATTTGTGTGTGTCCATAGCTGCCCATAGGAAAATTACAGACCACCCTCACCCATCCACACCTGCCACGGCCAGGCAGCAGATCATCATGTCTGCCATAGTTCGGTCACCAGAACATCAGCCCACGCCCATCAGCCTGCTTGCTCCTCCCTCCAGCCGCAGAAAGGAGTCCTCCACACCAGAGGGTAAGGCTTGGGGAGTGGGGTTGGCTTGTCGAGGGGTTCTGACGGAGACCCGGAGACCCCTCCACGGCGTATCATGCCCTGCTTTGTAATAGTGCCAAGCTGGGTCTAAGCGCAGTCAGCGGGTTGCAAAAAATGGACGTGTATATTCAGTGGCAGCCAAATGCAAGGCTACTGGTAAAGTTCCTAGATATAAAACCAGCATATCTGTAGAATATAGAAAAGTAGAAAAAACCTAGAAGAAAAAAATGGAGGAGAGGAAACCATGGACAAATGACTGAGCAAGCTGTGGTCTGCCAGTAGAGGGAATTGCGATTTGAGACAACTCGGCTCAAAAAGGGCTTTGGTGCCAATCATAAATTTACCAATCATTCTCTTTTGCTAAACAGTGCTTTTTTAGGCATCACAAGGATAGCAGCAAGCATCAGAATCCCAGGAGGCTGCCATTTGCCTAAGAGCCGAAGTGGGGGGAGCCGAGCCAAAACCTGAATGCATTTATTAAAATATTCAATCTAATGAAATAGACTGATAGGGTTACCCCCAAGTCATGTCTTTAATCCTCTTATCATTCCATTAAATATGACACTTCAATAGCAACTCTTAGAAGGACACTGGAGCCACACCCGAGCTTTGGGGGTCTTATCTGAAAACGGCCTTCTTAACATAGTTCGGCAGGTCCACAAATGTGGCAGCCAGTAGGTTGCTTGAAAAAGGGGGTTGAGGGCAGGTGAACCTAGGAACACCCTGCCCTGACTGTCTTCTCTCAGAGCTTAAGCTACAGCAGACTGGAATTAGTCTCAGAGCCCATCCAGTTAGGATCCGAATTCCATCAGAGCCACTGGAAGTCCTCGAGCAGGATCCAAGGACACCAGCTTCCCCCCACTCAATGGATTCCAAGGACATAGTGCTTGACCTCAAAAAGTAGTGTAGTTTTAAGATCCGGTGAATGAGAAACCCTGCGCCACTAACAATTTCTCACCTCTCCAATGTGTGTGATTTCTCCGTGTCTCCTGTAGGATGGATGTCCACATTTTATGAATGTTCCAAGTACTGCTTGTCTTTGACTTACCTATCTGTCCATGTGATTCAGTCATGTGACCAAGAACTTTTGTGCTGTTCTGCCCAGGAGCATGAACTAGAGACGCCCCCCCACCCCCACCCCAGTTTTCAGTCTCTCAAGTTATGACTTTATTGTATGGTTTTCCAAAAGACTCTGTTGGGGACTAATGGTGGCTTACCTTACAGGATTGTAACCATTACTGAGATAATTATATGAAGTTCTTGGAAGAGTCTTTGTAAGCGCTAATTAGCATTATTTTCTTTTCTATAGGCGTTAAATTACTAACTGGCTGGATGTATGATGTTTAATTCCAGAGTTCCCCAAATCTAAACAATATCTGCATATTAACTAACTGTCTTACCAAACTTTGTATCTACTGCCAAACAGCAGTGTGGTTTGAGTCCTGCTGCTCTTGAATCACACCTTCTTTGTACTTTACATAAGGTTTTTCCATCAGAATCACCTTCCTTTAGCAATTATTTCTGAAGTTTCTGATTTGGCTGTATTTGCTTTTCCAAACCCTGTTAGAAAGGAGGGCTGTGCGGACCCTTTTGCGGTTCTTTAAGGCAGCCCTGTCTTCCCAGGGTCACATGGCAGTTGCAGAGGAAAAGACACAGCTGCTTTAAAAAGTGGCAGAAAAGTGCTACATGCCACTCCAAGCCATCTAAAGTAGATTTTACTCATTATTTCCAAAGCAATATTGAGCTCAACTAGAAATTGCTTTTGATGGTAAATGGGTATTACTGTGAAAATACATTTTGGATACAATTTCAATTATTTGCATTTAAGAATAGGCACAATCTGTTTAAGTTTAAGGACCTGGTTAGTCTGCACACGCTCTCAAGTTCATTTTCTGCCATCTCTGATTCAAGGGATATTGGAAAGGGTAACTGATGGATCTCGGGAGGCCTCCCTGATTGTGTGACCAAATTTTGAGAACTCACTTTTTCAGGTTTTGAAAACAGAAATAAGAAGCAAGTAGGCTTAGCACATATATTGTATTAAATTGCTTCATAGCCCCACAAAAAGATCAGAAAAGAGTTCGGGACAGGGCTATACATTTCAGTTTTGCCAGTGATGTTACTTTCTCATTCCCCCCCGTCTCCTGTGACCTTCCAAGCCCGATTTTCAAAAATGTAGTTCCTGGCTGCAAAAAATGTGGTCCATCCCTGGAGTAATCCCTGATGGGAGAGCTGGACCCAAGAGCTGGGGGAGGCAACCTGAGCCCACCTGATCTTTTGGACTGCAACTCCCATCAACTCTAGGTGTCCCAAGTGGTGTTTGTTATCTAACACATCTGGAAGACACCAGGTTGCCTACCCTGCATTAACATCCATGCTTAACAAGTTAAAAGGAGAAAAATCTGTGACCTAAATGCTTTCATTGAAAGTCTTGGCCAGTTGGATGCCAAGCGCGTGTGCTGCTGTTTATATGAAGCAGTTGACCAATTTGGAGTTTAGGATTTGTTAGAGGAAGGAGCTCTTGAAGTGATAATGTAGATCACCCAGTTTCTTTGAAAGCTGGTAAGCTATTTTTGCTGTAACCTCATTGGACGGGTGGGGAGAAGATCCTGGTCTGCTGCCCCCACATTCTGCTCTAATGATATCACTAGTAATGTGTTAGTGTTGGCCTGCATGTGCCTTACAGGGAATTGCCAATAATTGTATCTTTTCATGCAAGCTGTGCCTTCGGATGGGCCCCAGCTAATAATGTCGTGCTATTTTCCCTAGAGTTTAATCGGCGCCTGAAAGAACGAATGCATCACAATATTCCTCACCGCTTCAATGTGGGTCTGAATATGAGAGCTACAAAATGTGCCGTTTGTTTAGATACGGTGCACTTTGGACGCCAGGCTTCGAAATGTCTTGGTAAGAGTTATGGGGAAGGTGAAGAGCTGTAACTGAGCAGGTTACGTATAGGTGGTTTTATTGGGAAAGAGATCATTTGGAGGAGGAGTTAGGAGACACATCTGAGAATGAGTCCCATGCCTTTGTACATATTTCCACAACATTTTTGTGCCCAGTTTAAAAAGAATGGGGAATTTGGAATGTATATTAACATTCCATATCTGAAGCAATAGCTGATTGGGACTTATTTTTCCTAACTGATCCCTGAGTATCTCAGCTGATACCTGTGGAGGCTTCTAGACCAATGTTTCTCAACCTTAATAACTTTAAGATGTGTGGACTTCAACTCCCAGAATGAAGTTGGGGAATTCTGGGAGGTTAAGTGCACCTGTCTTAAAGTTGCTGAGGTTGAGAAACCCTGTTCTAGACTATAATGTCCTTTTTTCTGTTTGCTTTCTTCCCTTTGATCAAACTTGTCTGATTTGAGTGAGGGAGTGGCATAGGTACTGCTGTGAATGAATAAAAACTGATCATTAATTTTGAATTTCTCCAAGACCCTGTTTTTCCCTTTATATTGCCAAGCAACATGAAGCTGTCTATAAGAAAGCGATCTCCTTTAAACTGGATTTCCTTTCTGAAGAAGCATGCCATGTTTCTTCTGGGATCTTCACGCTTTCCGGGAATGCCAAAAGGATCTCTCCCCCTGGAATAAAAACGACACAGACTGGGTTCAGACGTCAGGCTGAGCACAAATTTAAGCAGTGTTGTGAATTGTGTAGAGACCAGGCTCAGGCATAATGCTAAGCCATAAGCTATAACAGCCGAGTCCACACAAGCTAAACCACATCAGCTTTAGCGCAGTGTGTGAACGTATCTGAGCCATCCGATATACATCCTTGACAGCTCATCCCCCAGAAAAACAAGCACTTCTGAGAGATGGACAAATTCTATGGTAAACTGGAATGGGGCACAGAACAACTTTTTAAGTTGCACAGGCACGTGTGACTCAGGATGCTGCTCTGCTCTTTAAGGGACTTTTCAAGTGCAGTTTGCTTTATATGAGATAACTTTTGATCTGGCTGTTTCTATATGGTGTATTCCTCCTCTTCCTTCTCACCCGCTTTTTTTTCTTTTTTAGAGTGCCAGATGATGTGCCACCCCAAGTGTTCCGCCTGCTTGCCAGCCACTTGCGGCTTGCCGGCTGAATACGCCACGCATTTCTCAGAAGCCTTCTGCCGGGATAAATTGAACTCCCCGGGTCTGCAGCTGAAAGAACCGGGCAGCGGTTTACGGCTGGAAGGATGGATGAAGGTGCCCAGGTACAAACGTGAGTCTCTGCGCTTAAGATGCCAGCCCAGCTTTGGGACTGCTGAAGGAAGAGCAGCTCTGAAGGCCTGGGCTGAAACCGCGGAGGCTGCTTCTCTTGGTGACGTTTTGTAAGAACTTCAGACTCCCAGCTAATCCAGAGTCTTGCAGAACCTCTAACGAAGCCTTGTCCTTCTGTGTTTTCAGAAATAATAAACGAGGCCAGCAGGGCTGGGACAGGAAGTATGTAGTTCTAGAAGGAACTAAAGTCCTTGTTTATGACACAGAAACAAGAGAAGGTAACTTTTTCTCCATCCTTAGCTTTCCTGTTGTCTCTGATGCAGCCGCTGATCAACCTCTTATTTTGGGGAAGTGGGAAACAGTTTTATATTGTAGGTTCGGAAGGATTCTGGTAGCATCTTTTCCAGCTAACCCAACTGCAGCTCATGCAGGTTTGCAGCATTTAATCAAATTGGTTGGTTAGAAAAGATGCTACCAGACTCCTGATTGTTTTTTGTTTGTTTGTTTTTGCCACCGCCCCCCTTTAAACTAACATGGCTTTCCTCCTTCAATAGTGTAGGGTGTTGCTGTTCAAACAACTTTCACCCAGGAACTATATTTATTTATTTTGCACTCAGTCACCAAGGAACCACCATCTACCCCCCGCTTCTGGTTGGCAAAAAAAAAAACCTGGGGACATTCTGGGAGCCATAGCTGGTGATTTCTGTTGTACCACAAAGGCTGGCCATTTACCCAGCACGTTTTGCCTGGCAGGGCACGGGTGAAATAGTTTGGGACTGACAAGACTGACAACCTTTCAGAGAAGGTTCTCTATTGTTAATTTCCTCCATGAGAAATTGGCAGGCTTTTTCCTGCAGTGATGCAAAACCTGAGTTTTAAGAAACCCAGTTTTCTGATTGGCCTTAAGATTAAAATCTAACAGGCGAAGACCCTCTCCTCATTATGCTTCCTTTGCCCGTTCATCTCTCTCTCCCCTTCTTATCATTTTCAAAGCTGGACAACGGCCCGTGGAAGAGTTTGAATTGTGCCTTCCAGATGGAGATGTTACAGTCCACGGGGCTGTGGGAGCGACGGAGCTTCTAAATACAGCAAAGACAGGTGAGGCTGGATTGAATTAGGTGCTGCAGAAGTTAGTTTGGGGACAGAAAGATTGTGATTTTTTTTTTTCAAAGACGATCTTAGAAGTTGTAGAGAATAAAGAGAATGACCTCGACAGAGAGAGGGAAGATCCATGTCCAAAGCAACAGAAAGGAAAACGTTGCGCATGGAGGGATTACAAAAACATTTCAGACACTCCCCTAATTCACATGACTTATAAAAGAGCAAGGAAGGGAAGCACAATCAGACTTGCAAGATTCTGTCAGTAGAGCCAGCTTAAATAAAAGTTTTTAGTCTTCCATGGAATCTGTTTCTTGGTCTGGTCTGCCTTGTAGGACTGGCCCGTTGCCTTCACTGTCTTTCCCATTCTGCAGCTCACCCATATCTATTATTAAGGGATGCTTCAAAGAGAAAATGGTAGTATCTAGGGAAACATGTAAAATATAGATGCTCTGAACCTGTGTTTCTCCTTGTTGAGTCTCTCTGGAAGCATGGGGGAAGAGAAAAAAGTGGCATGCCAAGAATTAATTTTCAGAAGCAGACATTCCAGAGGAAAAACTTTCAGAGGCTTGGACTCTCTCAGTTGTAGCACCAGAAGATGCTCCTGACCGTGACCAAAATTTGACCACAAGTTTGTTATGCAGAAACTCTGAGGTCCAGTCCAGATTCATCTCCTGCCTGAATCCCTGGAGAATTATTGCCAGGCAGTATTGTCCAAATGTGTTGGGACTGCAATTGCCATCATCCCCAGCTTATCTGGCAGGGAATTCTGGGAGTTGGAGTCTATGCTTTAAGAAGGCAGTAGAGTGGGGCAATATGTGCTGCTGTTTGTCTACTGCTGTTTAAAGTTAAACTTCAGCGGATGATTCCTCTTGTTCGGTTTGCATCGGCTCTGAAAGCAGAGGAACGGACCAGCAAAAGAGTGCAGATTCTTCCCTAATCCAGGTTGTCTCTTTTGTGTTTTGTTTGCTAACCACTTAGATGTGCCATATATATTAAAACTGGAGTCTCATCCCCACACCACGTGTTGGCCTGGCCGGACTCTCTATTTACTTGCACCCACTTTTCCTGATAAGCAGCGTTGGGTTAATGCCCTGGAATCCACAGTGGCAGGAGGAAGAGTTTCCAGAGAAAAAGCAGAGGCTGATGCTGTAAGTTGAAAGAAAGAAACTAGGGAGGTGTGGGATGGGCCAGTTAAAATCCTTTCAAGAAGTTCAGAAGGAGAAAAATGACAGTGCTAGCCAAAACAGAGATGACTGGCTGCCTCACCTTTTTTTCCCTTCAGAGGGTAGGACAAACCTGGATTCACTCATGCCTGTCTGTTCCTCTTGGAAGGGGTGTTTGAAACAGAGGCAGATGTGTTCTTTTGATGGAGAAAACATTATAAGGTGAAATTTTTGATCAGGGAGCAGAGTATCCCTTTGCAAAAGCCTCCTGGTCAAGAGAGGCTTCTTAATCAAAGCCTTTGGATCAGATTCAGTCCCCCACCTATGACTTAAGTCTCCCAAATGAAAAGGGAAAAATGCAGTCAGGATTCCTTTACTGAATGTCTTGTGCAGAAAGAGCTCAGTTTATGCATATAAGTGTGCTCCAATGATTAATAAGAGCTCAGGCAGCTTTAAATAAATTTACTTGTAATAATAGGGATTTTGATCAACTAAAATGTATCTCATTCGAAATTAGGCATTTCTGGCACCCCATCGATATATAATCTTTCATTGTCTCGTGGTGCCTTGGTTGTTCTACATGCTTATAAAATGTTAGCTGCAGGACCGAGTATCTGTCGGGTTTATGTTCCTCTCCAAGCACTAAAAAAAGAAATGATTTCTCAAGGGCCTTGCAAGTACATTCTGGAGATATCCAACAGAGCTTTGCTGGCTGTTTGGTTAGTTGCGAAGGCAGCCACCTTCTTTTTCTAAATGCAAATCCTCGAGCTGTATGCTTGAGCAGGGGAAGGATCAATTGAGAAAAGCACATAAGAGCTGCAACAAAGAGGCTACGAGCGCTTCAGGCCTCCTTAGAAGAGCAATAGCTGAAGGAAAGCCAAACTCGGTCTTCCTTTGGGGGAGTAGAGGCCAACCTGGATGGCCTTCCTAGATGGGGAATTATTTCCAGCTGATTCTGAGATCATGGGGGACATCCAGTAGTGATTCTGCAAAGTGATGCAGAATACAGAAAAGATGTCCTTGTGATTTGCCTGCATAAGGTACTGCTGTCAGCCTAAGCCAGTGTTTCTCAGCCTTAGCAACCTTTACGCAAGTGGGTTTGTAATCCCCGCAAATCCCCCCCCACCCCAGTGAGCGTGGGGGTCGGGTGGTGGGCTGTTTTCCATACAT